TATTTAGTGTGATTACCAAAATGCATGTTATTGCAATGTTGTCATTGTACTATTTTATCGTTCTACTGATTACTGCTATTTTTGTTGTACTATTTTACATATTATTGCCACCAATTTTATTGATGTTGATATTACTACTACTGATTCACTATTATTGTTACTATTATTGATTCACTTTTTACTAATTGTTACTGAGCACGTCATTCCTTTACTGAGTACGTGATATAAGATCCTAATTAATACTAATATAAAATATATGAATATAATGTATATACTTTTATATATTTTTCTAATAGTACTGCATTGCTATGTATTCCAATAGTATTTATAGATGTTTTAGTTTTATTGATTTATATGATTTTCTTATTGATTTGTTAGTATTGCCAAGAAATATTATTTAAGAAGGATTATTTACAGCTTTATTAATTTGACATTAGTACTAGTTTACTAGTTTATAGATTTTACTATTTTCATACTATACTATTTTATTGGTCTCCATATTGATTGTTATATTGTTTTACAGATTTTACTGTTATTGCATATGATTTAGTGACAAGCTGAGATTTGTAGCTCATTATATGTGGTTTAAATAATTTCAAATAAGGGAAACGAATAAAGAGTGTGAGATTGATCAATTAAGTAATTCCTCATGTTTTATTGCTATTTGTTTTTCTTTTTTTTTTTGTATTTATATATTCTTTTGTACACATGAGTGAAAAGATGGGTGTTGTATTTGTATGACTCATGGATATTTTTCATAATTTTTGGAGTATGAAAATATATTTATATTAATATTTTGATCAATAGATTTATTTCCCTTGGTATTTATTTTAAAAAGAAATTAGATATCTATAGTTATTGTCATTATTAAAAAGATAAAAAATATTTATTTCTAAATTAGATTATAGGGCATGACACATGATCATCATTCAGCTTGTCTTAGTCATCTCCACTTATGAGATTTGGTGGAGGTGGCCGACTCCAAAAATCTTTTTTCAATTTCCTCAACAATGATGAATCTCAAAAGAAGAAAGGAGAATGAGGAGAGGAAGAATTGAACAAATGGTTATCAAAATGAGTATTCAGGTCGAGTTCGGGTAGAACTTGGAAGGGACCTGGGTCTAATTCAGTTGGCCTGAACCCAATCTGATTTTGTAAAAATGTTAGAAATTTAGACTTAGATCTGAATCGCAGGGTCATTGGGTTGACTTGATCAGAGATGCAGATAGATTGCTGTGTGAGCATGAGCTGCGGACTGTGCTGCGAGCGAGGGTGGCCTAATGGGACTGTGCGAGAGCGTGAGTGCAACCGCCCGAGCAGGCAATTACATTGGTGTGAGCGGCAGAGCTGGTGAGAGCTTACATGCCCTTGCGAGCGAGTGTGGGCATAGTGCGTATGGGTAATGGGGTGTCCAGGCGTGCGCTATGCGCGGGGCCGCAAGCAAGGGCGAGTAGCGTGGGTGTATGCCGCGTGAGTTACGTGCGTGTTGCAGGAGTAACCAGACAGCCATATATGGGGTAGGTATGAGCCAATTCAAGTTGATTCTTGGTTGTCGGGTTTACCTGAACACGACTTGAATTATAAACGGATCCAAAATAGGACCCGAAGCAAACCCGTTTCTTTATCATGTTGACCCGAACCCAATTTTTTTGGGCAGAAATTTTGGTCTTGTCACTTATTGGCACTCCTAATTGAACAACATAATGATGAAAACAGGAGGAAGATGAAAATTGGATGCTTCCATCGCAAATCACTAGCTAACGAGTGAACAGAAAAGGATGAAAACTCTAACTCCTCGTTCCCTTCTCCAGGAGCTAACTGGACTTAAGTAGGAACCCCTTGAGCCCATTGCTTCCTTCTACACATTATGTGATGTAGTGGATCGTCGGAAGATGATACCTGCAAGAAGGATTTGAGATTCCCAATCCAGGGAAGAAGAGGAAGAGAGCTTTTCAAAGCTTCAAAGACTAAAATATATCATTCAATACTTTCTTCTTCTACAAGACCTCCTATTTAAGAGAGCAAAAAAAAGAGTATTCTAGAACAAAATGGATAAAGTACTCCTAAGGACTATCCTAGTTTAAAATGCACCGCATCATTATGGAGGGAGACTGAAGATGTTTGAAGATAAAGGATCGACAGTGTGGTGACATGGTAACAATATTCTAACAAGCATACGTTATTTTTTATTTTATTTTTAATATTTTGAATGCTCTGTATGCAAACAATAAAGTTAAGATGCGAAATATATAAATCAAATAGTTTTAAGTCCCATGTAAATTACCCTAATAAACATAAATCTTGACCATGGCTAAGAAGGCTTTAAACTTAATTTGGGCCATGTTGGCAAAAAATCAATTTTCATGATTCTAATGATGTCAATGTTTACTCTTTGATTAATATGAATATGAACATGTTTAAAGCGTAAGAAAAAAAAAATACAAACTATTTAAATTTTAAGATATCAGATTTATTTTATAATTTAATTTTCCAATATTCCATACTACATTCATAATTTTTAAATTTATTATAGAATTGGATGTTAATAAGAGATTCTTGACCCTATTTAGGGGTGCAACCGAGTCAAGCCGACTTGCGAGCCGGCTCGGACTCGACTCGGTAACAGGCTCGACGAGTCGAGCTTATCGAGCTCGCGAGTCGAACTCGAACACGAGTTTGAGCTTTATAAACTTAGGCGTTATTTTGCAATTTTTTATTACATTATTTTATTTTTTGGAGATAACATAAATCAATTTTATGGTGTCTATTGAAGAATATGGTACCTATTTATGCTGTATGAAAACAAAAATATTGGGATTATAAAAAAAGTAATTATTATTTCTTAAAACCAAATTTTATTAAAAAAATTGTTAATTATTAGATAAAATAAATATAAAAAAAGAAAAATTGAAAAAGTAAAAAATGACAACATCAGCAACAAATTATGAATTTGTTTTTGTCAAATAATATTAAGAAATTAAAAAAAAAAACTATATTAAATTAATTTTAAATAATTGAGATAAAGTTAATTATATTTTCTAATTCATCTCTTTAGACTCGGTGACTTTTGGGTCAAACTGGGCTGAATTTGTGTGACCGATTTAACGTCACAATCCAAGTGAATAGAGGAGTCCTGAGGCTCCATCCAAGTGGCAAGTTTGGAAATTTCGTCGAACTTTACAGAAAGCATTTGCTTTCCAATACTTCAATAATTAATTGTTGAATGCAAATGAGTCAAAGTTTATGTCGAGTTACTTCTCATTTGAGCTTGGTTTTTATTTAATTGGGTTCAAGCTCGAGCTCGAGAACAAGGTTAATTGTACGACTTCGAGTTAAGAAAGCGAGAAAATACATATTTTTTAATAAAATTTGAAATCTTTTTTAACAATGTGGTACTTAAACAGCAAAATGATTGGGAGCTAATGAGTTAGTTTGAGATTGGTTCAAACTTAACTCGTTAGCTAATCGAGCTATGAGGCCCGTTTGATAAATACAGTCATTATGATTTGTTTGTTTACAAGCGATAATAATAGAGCCTCTCATCATTTCAATATGGAATCTAATATAGTTGAAATCTTAGGGGATGAGAAGATAGTGCAATATTAGAACCTTATGTAAAAATATGATATAAATGGACATATGTGGAGATAGACTTATTATAGGCAGTCAGGTTTGAGGAAGGAGTAGTGAGATTCAACTTCTGAATGGAGATGAGGGTTATTAAAGAAGTAGAAGTAGGAGGCAAAGATTGAATTTTAACTAGGGATCAAAAAATACTAATATTAACGGCAGCAGAGGCATATGAGTGTCCAATAATAGGCGAAACACATGAATTACATATGAATATAAATTTGGACTTAGCATCATTAGAGAAGATATGATGATAATTAGTATAATCATTACTAAAAGTATTACAAGAAGTGCACCCCTCCAACTTCAATCATAAATCATACATTGAAGTTTCATTTTTGCAAAGGTTGATTTGATCAATATTATGGAGTGAAGATCTAGTATTGATCAACAAGAATTCAAGCAAAGATTATCGTGGATTTAGTGGTCGTGAGATGAGCCATAGAAAGAGGGTTCCTAACTTTAATAGATATTTTCAAGATAGCCAAAATATTCTAATAATATAATGATAAATTTAGAATCTTCATCCAGACTGAGATTGTATGATTTCTAATAACACAATGATAAATTTGAGATTATTATCTAGATTGAGATTGAATGATTGTTTGAGAGGTAGGATGTTTGAGGAGCTTAATTATTCTGTGCAGACGTCGAATGTTGTTCAGAGACCAACCAGAATGTTCGTACTGTTATGTATCGTATCTCGGTGCCGCTAACATTGCACATTCTGGTTGGTCTCTGGACGACATTCTGCATCCGGTCTCCACATAAAATAATTTCTCGTTTGAGGAAAGATAGAGAGGATGACCATGCTTCCAAGATTTATTATGGGATGCCAAGATTAGGGTTTGATAGAAGGGAAGAAAATTTATGAGAGATTGAGGAAAGGGGATAGTTACACGGAATAAATTTGAATGGTAGAAAATGCCAACAAAAAGAAACTCATGTAGAATTTTAATAGGTATATATTGTTATGGGCATTAGGAAGGTTAGCCAAAGGGGAAAAAGCTGAAGCTACAATTTGCCGGACTCTGTTAGGTTTAGGACCGAGGACTGGCGACTCACTTAGTGGAAAAGTTATTACGTCTGGTTAAAAACCGAACGGGTCCGAATGTATACCGAGCAATACCGAGTGCCAAATACCGAGTATTTGGTGACGTGACGCGCAGTTATTGGCCTGAACGCGTTGGGCTGACCGGACCTAATAATTACTCCACTTAGTGTGTCTACCAGAGAAAATATCGCCACGTTTCATCTTCATTTTTTAACAACTCACACGTGTCACCAGCCAGATGTCACTATCCCCCACCAGGGGCATTATCGTAAAATCTCTCTCCCTCCTCAGTGTCAAAACCAAAACATAGCCGCTTTCTTTCTGTCTTGACCCGTTTCTGATCCGTCTTGCTTCTTCTCCGGCCATCAACGACGGAGTTCCGGCAAAACCATACCTTTCGTACTCATCTCTTCTTCTTCACTCCTGTTTGTGTTAAAGATGTTAGCTTTTGTGTGACTGGTTCTCGTTTTAATGGATATCGAGCTGGTGAAGCAAGAAACGGAAGAGCTCTCGTATCCCAGGGACCTTCTTCGGCGGCTCTCCGGCGCAAGATTCAGCAACGAACATCCTCCTATAAAGCGTGAGATGGAGCCGGAGCTAAGCCTGGGGCTTTCTCTTGGGGGATGCTTTGCCGTGGAGCCAAGAGAGATGCGACTCGTGCGGTCCTCATCTATTGCGACGCTCTCAGTGTTCTCAAACGAGCCAGCCTCTTCATCTCTTGTGCGAACTTGCTCTCTTCCCGTAGAGGCTAACGAGGAGAATAGGAAGCGGAAGGAGATGCAGAGCTTGAAAAGGCTGGAGGCGAAGAGGAAGAGAACGGAGAAGAGAAGTAGTTCAAGGACGCCGATGGCGTCTGCGGGTAGTGGGGATCCGAAGGAGGAACCGAATCGGGCGGGGGCGCTGCGGAAGAGCAGTTCTGAATTTGATGGAAGAGCGTTGGAAGGTATGGATTCGTGGTAGAATTGATTTGATCAGTTTCGCCTTTTACTGGATTTAGAAGAACAGAAGGTGTTTGTTTATTGATCGCTTTGACTACAATTTTACCTATGTTTAGAGTTTTTGGGGTTGGGAGAATTGGTTGGTTTTAGTTCGCTTTATCTCTTTGGAAATGAGTATTCTTCTTTTGATTAGATCTCTTCTCTTCTTATCTCTTCTTAGTTACCGCATGTCCAGTCTCTTCCTTAGAAGTTTCGTTTCTTGATTTGAGTTTGCTCTCTGTTACTATTTAGCTTCAGGAGATGCACAAGTTATATGAGTTTTTTTTCCCCTTTATTGTGGTGCAGTTATACTGTGTAGATATGTTATTGAGGAATGTTTGGCACTCATGAAATTAAAGCATTTTTCTGACTTATCTTAATATGGAATCTTATATATAAGAGGAGGATGGTGCACGAGAAGGAGGTGGGCCAAATCACATCTTTTAATGATTTATGTCAGTCATGTACAGGCTGTTGAAATTGTGCTGAATTGAGTGGGCGCAAAGAGCATTTCTCTGTAATTTTTACAGTCTTCATTGAATTTTGCTGAATCTCATTCCACATGCATTTTTTGAGTAGTGTATGAGATGTCTACTTTATTTTTCATAAACAGTTATGCACAGTTGTAGCATATATGCCATCTTTTCCCTTGCTTCTTAAGATTTGCTTAAACGCTTTAGTTTACTTCAGAGGTTCCATACAAATAACTGTTCTGTAGTTTCATTCTTTACTTATGCCTCAAAACTCCCAAAATTTTAAGTTGAGCAACGTAGTGGAACGTATTTCCAACCTCTTTATTCACTTTTATAGGATGGCTTCACATGATGCTATAGTGTAATCTCTCTCTTGTGGGCTTCCTTCTCTAGGAGAAATTATTTCGTGTGGACTCTGAACGTAGAGGATCGTTTGGATCCCGCATATGGACTGTGTAAGAACTAAGTATTGATTGCATATTTAATGCATATTTGTAGATATGCAGCAAATACTCACTAAATACTCAGTAAATACTTACAACTAATGATTGGCTTAGTATTTGTTGCATATCTATAAATACGCAGTAAATACGCAGTCCATATGCAGCATCCGGATGATCCTCTATGTTCGGAGTCCGCAAAGAATAATTTAGTGGTCATGAGAGTTCATAGTTACCTGTTTGTTTAGGTTCCTGTTGGAAAATTTAGGATTACAATTTGCAATATGCAAGGTTTGCTGATGCCGATTGATCGGAAAACCACTCCAAGTTTGCTATGAGAATACTGACGACACTTGGGGGGCCTGATTGGTCTCAATCTTGATGGCATTTCTTTGGGACTGTATTTGCTATCATGTTTCATGCTTTTATTTGCATAACAAAGAACTAGGATTCTATTGAAAGAATGCATATTAGGTTCTTTTTGCTGATCCACTTACAGTACTCAAGCAAAAATTTGATTTTTTTCATCATCGTTTGTTTACAGAATCTGAGATCTCAAGCTTAAGCAACTCTTCAGTTGTTACTTCATTGCCCGACTCGGGTCGCAAGTCAGCTGCTGCAGATTCATTACCGCCGCGACTAAGATCCCTCAATTCCTTGCAAAATGATGATAAAGCATTGAAGAGGACTACTAGCAACTTATACACACCGAAAGATATGGGAAGAAATATAATGGATGAGATGCCTTGTGTGTCAGTTAAAGGAGATGGCCCCAATGGTAGGAAGATTGACGGTTTCCTCTACAAGTACAGGAAAGGTGAAGAGGTAAGGATTGTCTGTGTTTGCCATGGCAGCTTCCTTACTCCGGCTGAGTTTGTCAAGCATGCTGGAGGAGGCAACGTGACTCATCCTCTCAGGCATATTGTTGTTAACCCTTCTGCTTCAGTTTATTTCTAATGCTTCATATGCAGATTTCAGATGACTTCGGCTTCGTTTGGGACGGCTTTCTTAATGCTTTTTAAAATAGTTTTTTAACACAAAAGTTTAATTTTTTATACTAGGAAGCTGCTTTAAGAAGCAGTAATTCGTCCCAAATGAAACCTTCATCAAGTAAGCAAGCTTGATCTGTTACTGAAGTACCAAGAGGGAAGGGAAGTCTCCACTTTCTCTCCTTTTTCTATTCCCTTGTCATGATGTATTTTGCCTTTTGTTTTTTCTTTGATGAATGAGAGAAGGATAATGAAGAGTTCCTTAGTTGGTTGCTTGTTTGATTCCTTCCACTTTTCTTGTACTGCAGGCGATGATTTACATGTTTACTTGTTGGTATCCATGGGACCATGTCTCTTAATGATGTTCAAACTTGTCTTCCTGATTTCTTTTTTCTTGTTATTGCCGTAATGTCTCTTACTGCAAAGAACATGACAAATGAACAGCTTCTCAGTTCTCACCTTTCTTGACTCCTTGGCCTTGCTTTCTTTCTTTCATCCCATTCTTATGGACATTCTGGTTTTATACGTTTGATGTTGGTGACTATGGGAAGGGGTGAAAACGAGCCAAGCCGAGCTAGACCCGCTCCTGGCTTGAGCTTGATTACTTGATCGAGTCTGTGCTCAAGCTTAATTTTTTGAATTCGAGTTGACTCATCTGCCAGCTTTTGTATTATGAAAGAAAAAAAATAATTGATGAAATGAAAAAAAAAAGGAAAGTTAGAAGGAAAATGGTTAGAAATCACTTGATATGAGTGATATATAATTTTAAAATATTTTTAAGGGGTTGGAACCGGCTCAAGCTTGACGCATTAGCTCATCAAGCTTAGCTTACGAGCCATCTATCAAGTCAAGTTCGAGCTGGCTCGCGAGTCGAATTCACTCATTCACATTCCTTACCATTGCTCTTGTGCTTTTGGAGAGGTCAGGTTTGGACTGAAACATATTCTTAATCAGCTAATTAATTGACCTTTAAATTAAATGTGACACTTAGAGCTTGTTTCGAATAGTAGAAATAATTTTAGGGGGTGTTTGGCTTAGCATCTGTAAGAAAAGAAAAAATATATATATATAAAAAAGCTTATAGAGAAGCAATTTTTGAAATTTAAGTGTTCTATTTAAAAATAATTTAAATTAACAATGCACTAATTAAGATTATTTTTCATATTACGAATATATTAAATTCATAATTATTTCAGAGTTCAATTATTTTTATAGATAAAAATTTGGTGAGATGGCACAATGAGGTGAAATGAGCAGCTAAATAGCTTTCATTAGAAGATTGGATCACATATGATCTAATGCTTGTTCCTGTTCTAGCATGTTATTACTAAATGAAATGGATTTGTCATAAAGACTTTAATAAATTTAGGTCATAAAATGAAACTCAACAACTACGCTGTTAAAGTGATTTTAAAGAACTATGTATGTTTATTCAAATAAGTAGGGGTGTTAATATTTGACACTACCCAAAATTTGACCCGAAAAATTTCGAGTTCGGGTCAACCCCTTTGACATACGAGTTGGGTTCGGCAAGTTCACCCGTTTCAAAAATCGGGTTGGGTTTGGGTTGACCCGGAAACCCGAAAGTGATCCAGGTTGACCCATTTAGAAAAACCTAATTGATAACCCGGCCTACCGTTGTACCACAGCTATTTCGCTCGTACAACAGTCTGTCTATTTGCACAGGCGCACAGGCACAACCCTCTCACGTTTTTGCTTGTATGCCAGCTGGCCTAGGACATCCAAACTCCAACGTCTGCGTAGCCCGTGCAGCGACATGCACAGAGCGGTGTCGCACTATTGTTGCCATCCAGACTAGCCGCAAGGCCCGCAGCTACGGCGACCCAGGCCTAGCCTCTGGCCACGCCGCACGGCCCGCGCTCCCCTGGCCTCGTCGCGCTCTACCAGGATCCCTCACACACGCATGCAACTGTGCCTGTTTCATGTTGGCGAGTCGGGTCAGTTCAACCCAATAATCCGCACGAGTCATTTCCGGGCTGGGACCTATTAGGGTCAAATTGTTTAAACCCGGATCAATCAGGGTTCAACCCGAACTTGACCCGCGTTCCCGTTTTGACACCCCTACAAATAAGTTTAATCGGGTTACTCTTACATAAGGGCGTCAAAATAGGTCAAAATGTCAAGCTCGGGTCCGATCTGAAATTGAATTGATTCGAATTCAATTAATCAGAACACAACTTGCTAGTAACCCTAACTGATGACCCATTTAATTAAAAAATATTATTATTAACTTACAAATCATAAATTTTAAATTAATTGATAAAAATAAAAAGGCTATACCAACAAATAAATGAATTTAAAGAAAAAAATATTAAACATGTCATTTTTGAGTCAAAGTTGGATTGTCAGGTCAACCTAACCCAGCCCATTTAATAAACGGGTCTGAATAAATGACCCATATATGGCCCGTTTATTAAACGAATCAATTTGAACATGAATTTTTTGGTCGGATTAGGTTCAGGTTGATGTGTTACTTTACATGACTCGAAAGATATGAACATTGCAATTCAACAGTAGGGCAAATGAGTATTTAATGATAGGTGGAGTAATACATTATCTACTCCAATCCTCCTAAAACTTGCCAAATCAATTTTACTTGGATAGTTTATTTTAATGCTTGATCAAGTTTAGTTTTACAAGTCGCCGTTCTTTATTATTGTATGATGCACAAGTAGAGCTGTCAAAATCGGGTCACGGGTCGGGTTTCGGTTCAACTTGGAACTTATCCGACACTACTTGACCCAACCGGAACCTGGCCAGTTTTTGCATGCAGGTCAGCTTTTTCAACCCAAATCCGACCCGCATGAGTTGTTGGGTTGACCCGACCCAGCCCGTGGCAGATGCCACGCGACTCACAACCCCAAAAAATCAACTCTCTAAATTAATAAGAAAAAAAATTTGTGATAGTTTATATGAATAATATAACAATCTCATTAAAGTTTCACAATTCTACTAACAACCAAGTTTCCTGATACAATGGGAAATACGCAGATTTAATATTCCAGGAAGTAACTTCGAAGCTAAGGCCTTTTGGAGGACGTAGACCTCTTTGGCTTTTTGCTCAGCCTTTATGATGCCAAAACTTGTTGGAATTAGCCATTTGAAAGCAAAGGTTGGATGGTGACTGAAGAATAAGAGCAAATATTACGCAAGTTGAACAGCTGATTGACATCATTACCGATTTGATATACTAATCAAAATTTATATTATATTCATCGCATAATAGTGGCTTTGTTTGGAGTAATTATTACGTCCGGTCAAATCCGAACGTATCTGAATGTATACCGAGCAATACCGAGTGCTCAATACTGAGTTTCAGGTGATGTGACGTGTGGTTATTAATCTATGAACACGTTCGGTGACCGGACGTAATAATTGCTCCTTTGTTTGGGGCGACTTTTTATTGCTTCTAAAAACAACATTTCAATTTAATAATTATAATTTTTATACTAAAAAGCTGATTTAAAAAACAGTAAGAAGGTCGTCCCAAACGAAGCTTTAGGCTTTGTTTGGGATGACCTTTTTATTGCATTTTAAAACGGAGTATTAGTACAAAAATTAAAAATTTTATAGTAAAATAATTTTGTATTTAAATTCCATTTTAAGAAATAATAACAATTTTCTTATTGCTTCTTAAAACATCTTAAATTATACTAAAGGTTGCTATAAGAAATAATAAAAAAGACGTGGAATTACTCAAATGAAACTTTAAATTTTGTTTGGAGCGGCTTTCTTACTGCCATCTAAAATTACTTTCTGGAACAAAAATTAAAAAAGAAAAAAGATTTTTATGCTAAAAAAGTATTCATAAAAATATAAAAAAACCCTATCTCAAAAGAAACCTTAATAATTTTAGATTATCAGACCTGTTTTTATTAAAAAGTGTTCATAGCCCAAGATACTAAGAGCCTGTCCTTATCAAAATCCAGTAGAGCCACTGCTGGCTGGAAAAGGCAGAGAATGACGTGTTAGCTAATCCACAAAATACTTTTGCATTTTAAAAATTTGAAGAGATTGCAATCTTTCAGATTTTGATTGGCTTTGGTGTGTTGAGCTGTTGAGTAAATTGGATGATCTCTCAGCCAGATTAGAAAAATTATTCTGTGTGGTCATCGGATCGTTCGAAAGCGAATCAGAATGTGTCATGTCATCCGATACACAACAAAAAAGTGACGTTGCGCGTCCTGATTCGCCCCCGGACGGCGTTCTAGCGAGTAAAGAAGTTCGAACTCCTTTGAAGAAGTTGAAGGCTAGATGAATAAAGTTTGGGTGCAATTCAACTTGTTTATTTATATGTACAAACAAGTTTATTTGTTATTCAACACATAAATTATTATATGTTTAATGTTAAACTTGATGATAGCTCGTATATTATTTAATTAAATTTTGGAAAAATATAACTGATTTAATTGATTATTTGATAATAATATGTTATATATTTATTTATTAGTTTATGATTCTTTTTTATTCCCATTTTTAATTTATGCAATTCCACCTCTTGTTCCACACCTTTACGTTTCATCACTTTAAGGCTATTTTACGAGCTGCTTTTTTACTACTTCTTTAAACAGTTTTTTATAGTATAAAATTTTAATTTTTGTACTAAAAAGTCAAAGTTTTTTATAAGAAAAATGCTTTAAAAATCAATAAGAAAGCTGTCACAAATAAAACTTGGGATGACTTTTTTTTGCTTCTTAAAACAGCTTTTTAATGCAAAAATAAAAAGCTACTTTAAAAAGCTGCTTTAAGAAGTACTAAGAAAATCGTCTCAAATTAAACCTAGTCCCCTCAATAGCTAGGAACTTTTATTATGTCAGAACACCTGACGTAGCTCTACATGCGGACGCCAATAAAATGTCGCCACGTGCTCTTACTCTTTACCATGCGACCCTACGACCCGACCCGGACCGGATCCCGGTATTGCTATGTTCGTGTATTGCTGGTATTACTAGGAATTGCTTGACAATAATGAGAAATATCGCTCTTTCAAGACCAATACCGAGCAATATCGAGCAATACATAGCAAAACTGGGGTATTGTTCGATATTGCTCGGTATTGCTAGGTATTAGTCTGGATAGAATGTTATTTCTCGTTACCGAGCAATACCTAGCAATACCCTGGTCTACACAAATCAGCTAATACATAGCAACACCGGGTTCCGGTCCGGGCCGGGTCGTCGGGCCGCGCGGTAAAAAGTAAGAGCACGTGGCAATATTTTATTGGCATCCGAATGCAAAGCTACGTCAGATGTCCTGACCAAATAAAAGTTCCAAGAGGTCATTTGTCTGAGCAAATTGACATAGCTATAGCGGATAAGATGCTCGAAGGAGGTCCAGATTAGTAAAAGCTTCGAATCTTACAATCAAGGAGTTGGTGTAAGCTTATCCCTCGTGGAATATTCCATATTCAGGTAAATATTTATATTTATTTCTTATCTTTCTAATTTGTTTAAATTAAATAATTTATTATTAGTCAATAAGCTTATTGATTTCATAAAATCTCTTCAATGAACAAATTTGTAGGTATTTGATTATGTTAAATGTTTGCAAAAAATATTTGTTCTTGATTGTTTACTATCTTGTTTAATTGGTACTTATTTAGTTGGAGTTAAAAGCTTGATTATCTCATTAATTAAGTACTTATTTGAATAATTTATGCAAGTCAAATACAAGTCATATTTGATCATAGAGAAATCTAATAGGTTATATGTGAAAGCTCAACTTTAGCTTAATTTAGAACAATTTTTTTTATTACTTTCTAAAGCAGCTTTTTAGTACAAATATTCTTAGTTTAAAATTTTTTGTATTAAAAGTTTAATTTAGAAAACAGTAAGAAAGCTTTCCCAAACGAAACTTTAAGCTTAAGCTGATATGAATAACTTTTAATTTGATCAAGCAAAGTCTAATATATAGTGTGCTTAGCTCAACTAATCTTAATTATAGCCCTATATAATGTGTTGTAAGAATTATAATTATTTGTTAAGAACTTAATATAGAGTTAGTATGAGTGATTGCATTTTTAAAATAAATATTATTATGAATTTTCTATCATTGTGATATTATAAATTAATCTAGATTAGTAATTAATTGTTTATTTATTAAAATGAACATTTAAATTCATATTTTTTTTTGTGAAGCCACTTAAATCACTTTTTTTAAAAAAGTTATTTTTCTAATTTCATATGGTTGAATTTTTCTTAGAAAAGTTAAATTCAACATCCTAAAATTATTTCTTCTATTTGCCATTTGATGCTTTTTTATTTAAAAGGAAAAAAATTGATGTTTGATCTTATCAATTCTTTTGAAATATCTAAATAATAATATTTATATATGAAAAATATGTTTCTTGCAAGTATTAAATAAAAGTAAAATTAATATTACAGGAGGTTAAGAGTTTGTTTGGGACAACTTTCTAATTATTTTATTTTTTTAGGCAACTACAATTTAGTTTGACTACTACTTTCTTGTTGATTTCTCATTATTCAAAAATTGCTGCGATAGAAAGCTGTTTTCTGCAACCATAATAGTGAAGTTGCTCCAACTTTATAAAGCATGGTATTCGTCCTAAACAAACCCTAAGTTAAGCGTTTTTTGTCGAGAATTAGGCAGTACTATAACGCGGCGATCCAAAAAAGGGGGAAAACAAAATTTAAAAGTAAGCATTTGCCTAACCTTACTCCAATGTGTTTCCACCCTTTTATGTTGTCATTACAAGCCTAAACCAACATCTCCTTCATCCTTGCTTTGTGCAAAGGGTTTTTGAGGCTTACAAATAACTCATCATAGGATCAATATGCAATATTTTATCAAGAAAGATAGTCACAATTCTGCCTAGGGCTGCAAGCAAACCAAGAGTTCGACGAGCTACTCGTTGTTCGGTTCGATTAAAGCTCGTTTATGATCATTTAATTAACCAAAAAAATAAATTTGAACAATATTTTAAATACTCGATTATTAAATAAACAAGCTTGAACACTAATGTGTTAGACACATTTATGTTCGCAAACAACATCATTTGTAGCTCGTGAACAAACTCGACATTAAGCTCGATTCATGTTCGATTTTGAACTTGTGTATAAGCTTCATAAAAATAATTAATAATTGATTATAGAATTAATAAATATAAATAATATAAATATTTTATATTTATTATGATATAATGATATAATTATTGTTAAATAATAAAATTTAAAATAAAAAATATTATATTATATGTTCATGAACGTGTTTGTTTCATAGTTTAAAAAAACTCGTTAAATATGTTCACAACATGTTTGATGTAAACGTTTGTTCATCAAGTCATGAAGAAAAGTTTTATCAAAAAAAGCCTATTCTTCATGGAAGACTTCCAGGATCCATATTCAGAGAACTGAGTACATAAATATCAAATTATGATGAAAATGATTTAAAGAACTCAAAATTTTCATTTCATGAAAATTGTCCACATATATATTGGATTAGTGATTAGATTGATCAATATAGAAAATTTGTTATTACCGTCGGACTTTCCGGCTGCAACATATATGCCGGAAAAAACAGCGGCCTAACATGATTTCACTGTGATGTGAAAGTTTTAGATTCAAGTGATAGAATCAGTCACTATTTATGGATGGGAAAACGGTGCATGTAGTCATTTAATTTAATGAATTGACTATGAAACTATAAGTGTTGAGAAATTCTTGGGAGGAAGAAGAGTTCTTCTTGGATGAGAGAGAGAGGGAGGCAAGGGAGACAGAATGTGGGAATGGATGTTAGGAGAAAACAGAACTAAAGCTTTATTTAATTTTCTCACCATTTATAAATAACTCAACCTCTACTTATAACACCAAGAAATATGTAGGACAAACCGAAGGAATAAAATAGCTAAAATTGGATCAAATCCTAACAATCTCCACATTGATCCAATTTTACTATATATAACAAAAAAAAGCCTTCACCTCAAATATCTAAATAGATCTTTAACAAAAAAAGAAACCCTTTCTATGCATTGCCTCTGCCATAGCAGCAACCAGCCGTCTAAGGATCAAGATCCGCCAATGCAGATCATCCCAGTCAACGCGTACCCCGGTCGCAACCTGGCCTCCCCAGCTTGCACGTGAACTGGCCTTCGCTGCTTCCTCGATCCTTCACTCAATCGAACAGCTACCTGTTGTCGTACGATTCTTGGCTTCGACCTCCTTTGAGGACCTCCAACCGAAGCTTGCTGTTGGGAACCCAGCAGTCTGCTTGTCCTGGCTCCTGCACGCGGATCCAATCCCGTGCAACCGACGAGTGAAACCGCGTGACCTTCCACCGGCCTGCGCAGACTTCACATGTGATCCGTTAGCCCGCACGTCCGCTTGTGTGCGTTCGCCCCAACTCCACCAGCGACTCCGTCAGCCCACGGTGCTCCTTCCTCGCGCGAACCCCTGACTGCGCGACCCAACCCCTAGTCATTCATTCTACCTCAAGCGAACAGACCGAGTCTGCTCCATGTCGCCATGCGCGTTCTCTCGCACGGCCTATGCTCTCGCGACCACGCTCACTTCCACGAGACCTCTGCCCTCGCGCCCTTGTATCTACTGTTGTCGTTCCGACCCAATAATTGCACCGCCTCCTCTCTTTCTTCATTGGACAAGAACTTCCTTCCTAGATATCGCCTCTAGCAAGCTCTAATACCACTTGTTGAAAAAATCTTGGGAGGAAAAAGAGTTCTTCTTGGATGAGAGGGAGGGAGGGAAGGGAGAGAGAGAGTGTGAGAACATATTTTAGGAGAAAACATAACTAAAGCTTTATTTCCCAGCCTTTACAGAAAACTTAGCCTCTACTTATAACACCAAGAAACATGTAGGATAAACCGAATGAATGAAATAGCTAAAATTGGATCAAATCCTAACACTAAGTTTGATCTTCATCATGTTGATGTTATTGTCATTTTCATGCTTCATCAAGCGATGTTGTAGTCACCACCTCTCATTCTCTTGTGCAATATGGTCATCAATTTTGAGTTGTATGTAGGAGAAGTGGTCAGTCCAAACATCATGGGTATAGATGTATGACAGATACGCCATAGGAGCTTGTGGCGGAGGTGGTCAAGGAGTAGCAACTTCTTCTTCTTCTTCATTACTGTTGTAAATATGAACGATGCGCTTCTTATCACTAAAAAGAATATGGAATAAGTGATCCATGATTGGGGTAGCTAGGGATGTATTTGCTTGGCTTGGTAGGATTGATTGAGAGATTTGTTAAACCAATTAAATTGAATCAAGTTACAATCAAAACCGAATCAACCTAGGAATTTATTTACAGTTGTGAATAGAAGTAAGGTTCTCAATGTAAAAAAAATTAATATTAGCTCACAATGATATGAATGGGCAAATGAAAATAAGAACTAAAGTAAAAGATTATAATGGAATAGGAAAGACATTCTTGTAATTTGCTTTGGAATCAATATAGAGAATCTACATTTATCTCTTACAAGCTGCAGCAACGTCGATATCCCTTGAGCGGTGACCGTGTTGTGGAATGGATACGATGCTCTAGTACCTCGCTATCAATTGCTAGCCATGGAAACAAGTCGCTCTTACTCTGAAGAGAAATAAAAAAAGGAAGCAAATGAGTGAGACATGAGGAATATTTATAAGCAAACAAAAGTATGTGTAATTGTACAGTATAATCAGTCCATTGTATTGATCGTCCCAATGGCTACAAAATGAATAGCTTAATTGAGGACCAATCACCGACCAGAGAAGTATGAAGTTCATGTTAGAGCAGAGGATGGTGACAGAGGAGCATCACCGGTGGCTTTCCAAGTTGTTGGGTAATAATTTCGAGATCCAATACAAGCCCAGGTTAGAAAATAAAGTAGCAGATGCTCTCTCCAAGCATAGTGAAGACCCTCAGGTTATGGCTCTATCTATTCCTATGGTGGTGGATTGGGAGGCCTTGAAGCATGAGTACTAGCAGGATGAGGAGCTGAGTAAGATCAAAAGAGACTTGCTGTAGAACAAGGATAGCCATCTTAGTTATTCTTTGATGGGTAGGTAGCTGCTATACTAGGGATGGTTTGTGCGTTTGAGGAAATTGCCACACATCCCTCATTTGTTGCAGAAGTTTTATGGCACAACTATTGGGGGACATTCAGGAGTTCAAAAGGCATATCATGGATTGGCAGCAGAGCTATACTGGGTGGGCATGCGGAAGGATGCAGAGGAGTTGATGGCCAGTTGTGATGTGTGTCAGAGACACAAATACCTAGCTATGACTCCAGGTGGTCTTCTACAGCCGTTAGCATTACCCGAGAAGCTATGGGAAGAGGTGAGTATGGACTTCATTGAGGGACTACCTAGATCAGATGTAAGGCTATCAAAATCGGGCCATGGGTCGGGTTCGGGTCAACCCAAAACTAACTCGATACTATTTAACCCGCTTCAGGTTTGGGTCGACCCGACCCGAAACTCTGTAAATCTTCCGCGACGGCGACGACGACAACGCGAAATCAACTTGATCTATGACAAGGACGGCACGTTTTCAGACGTGAAATCGACATGACTCAATTGTTTAGACCCCAAACTCCGATGGTGACTCTACAGCTTACTCTACGCAGGCAAACCAAAGGCAAACTCTATTAGGGAGTTAAGAATCGAGATGCCAGTGAATGTCTCTCACCGTCTCACAAAACTGGAGACCTCATAGGTGAAAAACAATGTTTGCTTGTCCTTCAACGCCATGGCCATATTGGTTAGTTCACATTGGATATTGGTAGGGTATTCTCATACATCTTGAAATTCTTAATCAACTCGGTGTCATACTGGAAGATTGTTGACCTTCGTATAATACCTGAAGGAAGACAAAAAATAACGACAAAAAAAATACCTCGTATCCTGTCGGATCCACGAATCCCGCTGAATCGGCGCCGCGAACGATCACTTCTCCGCACTTCCTGCCTGAAATCGGCTCTCCATCGCTGCCCCATTCGCGTCGTTAAATACTGACCCAAACGAAGCTTTTCGCTGCTCCTTCCCATTCACGATCTCCCTCACTCCTGCTCTCTGCCGAAATCCTCAAACCTCCTTGCCCGATCCTTTCTCTACCCTAGCCGACGTCCGACCTCCTCTGGCCGAGAGAGAGAGAGAGAGAGAGAGAGAGAGTGAGGAAGAGTTCCCAT